TCTCTCTCATCATTGATGTTTCTCTCTCTCCCCTCTCCCTTCCTCTCTGAAATCAATAAATAAATATATATATATTTTTAAAAAGCATACTTTAAAAACTGTCTCTGCTGGATAAATGAGTGAAAACTGAAGCCCGAACTTTCTGATTCTCTCTAGGTTTGACTCTTAGGCTGGGAAAAATATGTTACAGTGATGAGGGATAGTATATGGTAACGTGTATGGTACTCCGCTGAGATATAAAATATAAATTTCAAATAACCGCTGCAGGGAAGTCGTAGAAACAGTTCAGAGGACACAACTCCCACTGAGGGAGTCTCCACCACCGAGGATGCATACGATGATCGACCGATCTGCTCCAAAGTCCCAGCCGCAATTTCGTCCTTCTCTTCCGTACAACGACCCAAGATGGCGGGGCCCGTGATTGAAAACCAGGTTCAAGATGGCGGCTTCCTACTTCCCCCGAGGAGTAGCGCGTGGCCACTGATGCCACGCCCACTTTCCGAGGCCACGCCCACTTCCGGTCCCTGGCCCGCAGCATGGCTGCTCTAGGTGCTCTGCTCTTTAGTAAGTGGGCGCGGGGGGCGGGGGGTCTGGGACCCCAGGGCTGGCAGCACGGCCTCTCTCTCCCCTCTGCCCTGCTTTCCCCGCAGGTGTCCGGAGGCTGCACGGCAGCGCGGCGGCTCGGGCGGGTGGCCAGTGGAGACTCCAGTGAGTGTGGGTTTGGGGAAGATGGGGTCCAGAGCTGTGCCGAGTCGTAACCGAACGGTTTTTCTCCTCCCAGGCAGGGCATGGCTGCCAACCCCTCGGGCTACGGGCCCCTGACGGAGCTCCCAGACTGGTCGTACGCGGGTGAGCGCGGATCTCCTCGGACAGTTAACTCTGCCTCGGACAGTGTCACCCGGAGAGAACGCCCCTGCGGGGAGCGGGTGGAGCCGGGGGTGGGGCCGGGGGTGTCAGGGTGGCGGTGTGTCCGAGTGAACAAGGTATTGAACTTTACAGGGGGAAGAAGCCCTGTTGTTTATTTTGTAAAGTAAACTAGGCCAGTGGGAAATAAAGCTAGACAGGCTCTTTTAGGCTTGTGCAGATCAGCAGAAGACAGTTCTGACTGGGGGGCCCCGCCCCGCCAGGGGAGAGAGTGAACAGGCTTTCCTGTTTCTCAAAGGATGGGTCTTAGAAAGTTCTCCGTGCACCTGGAAAGGCTGCCAAAATGAGCATCACAGAGAGAGGAGTAGAAAAGTGAATAGTGAGGATGGTGGCCGCCCTTCAGAAAGGTCTCTTCCCTTTATTATTTAAAAAAAAAAAAAGATACTTTTTTTATGATTTCAGAGATGAAAGGAGAGGGAGAGAGAGATAGAAACATCAGTGATGAGAGAGAATAATTGATTGGCTGCCTCCTGCGCACCCCCCACTGAGGACGGAGCCCAACCCGGGCATGTGCCCTGAAGACCAGGAATCCAACCTCCCCGGAATCCAGCGTGGCCTTCTGGTTCATAGGTCGATGCTCAGCTACTGAACCACACAGGCCGGGCTCTTCCCTTTACTTAAAAAAAAAAAAAAAGAAAAGAAAGAAAGAAAATAAAAAACAACAAAGTAAAATAAAAATAAAAGAAATATTAGCCCTAGGAGTGAGAAGCTTTGAAAAATTGAAGCCACACCTCATGCCCGTATAGGACTCCAGTTTACAGATAGGAAAATTGAGGCCTAGAAATGTGAATTGCCTGTGATCACCCACGAGGTAAGAGCAAAGCCAGAACTAGAACAGGGCAGAGGCCAGTCCCCCTTCAACAGCACAGAGGCCTGAGTATTAATACCCTATTGGATTTTACAGGAGTATGATTTTGCTTAATCGGAGGATGGTGAAGATTTTTTCTACTTGTTATTTACTGTAGGAAGCCTAGGATCTTCTTGAAGTAGTATGGAATATTGGAAAGACTCTGGAATTTATTCTTTTTTGGTTGTTAATCCTCACCTGAGCATATTTTTCCATTGATTTTTTTTTAGAGATGGTGGAAGGGAAGGGGAGAGACAGAGAGAGAGAAACATCTATGTAAGAGAGATACATCAATTGGTTGCCTCCTAGACATACCCAACCAGGGCTGGGGATTGAGCCTGCTATAACCGAACGGTTTTTCTCCTCCCAGGCAGGGCATGGCTGCCAACCCCTCGGGCTACGGGCCCCTGACGGAGCTCCCAGACTGGTCGTACGCGGGTGAGCGCGCATCTCCTTGGAGAGTTAACTCTGCCTCGGACCGTGTCACCCGGAGAGAACGCCCCTGCGGGGAGCGGGTGGAGCCGGGGGTGGGGCCGGGGGTGTCAGGGTGGCGGTGTGTCCGAGTGAACAAGGTATTGAACTTTACAGGGGGAAGAAGCCCTGTTGTTTATTTTGTAAAGTAAACTAGGCCAGTGGGAAATAAAGCTAGACAGGCTCTTTTAGGCTTGTGCAGATCAGCAGAAGACAGTTCTGACTGGGGGCGCCCCGCCAGGGGAGAGAGTGAAAAGACTTTCCTGTTTCTCAAAGGTGGTGTGGGTCTTAGAAAGTTCTCCGTGCTGAGTGCATTATTGAGAATTTGGTACCAAATGCAGGGAGAGCTCCTGGAAAGGCTGCCAAAATGAGCATCACAGAGAGAAGAGTAGAAAAGTGAATAGTGAGGATGGTGGCCGCCCTTCAGAAAGGTCTCTTCCCTTTATTATTTAAAAAAAAAAAAAGATACTTTTTTTATGATTTCAGAGATGAAAGGAGAGGGAGAGAGAGATAGAAACATCAGTGATGAGAGAGAATAATTGATTGGCTGCCTCCTGCGCACCCCCCACTGAGGACGGAGCCCAACCCGGGCATGTGCCCTGAAGACCAGGAATCCAACCTCCCCGGAATCCAGCGTGGCCTTCTGGTTCATAGGTCGATGCTCAGCTACTGAACCACACAGGCCGGGCTCTTCCCTTTACTTAAAAAAAAAAAAAAAGAAAAGAAAGAAAGAAAATAAAAAACAACAAAGTAAAATAAAAATAAAAGAAATATTAGCCCTAGGAGTGAGAAGCTTTGAAAAATTGAAGCCACACCTCATGCCCGTATAGGACTCCAGTTTACAGATAGGAAAATTGAGGCCTAGAAATGTGAATTGCCTGTGATCACCCACGAGGTAAGAGCAAAGCCAGAACTAGAACAGGGCAGAGGCCAGTCCCCCTTCAACAGCACAGAGGCCTGAGTATTAATACCCTATTGGATTTTACAGGAGTATGATTTTGCTTAATCGGAGGATGGTGAAGATTTTTTCTACTTGTTATTTACTGTAGGAAGCCTAGGATCTTCTTGAAGTAGTATGGAATATTGGAAAGACTCTGGAATTTATTCTTTTTTGGTTGTTAATCCTCACCTGAGCATATTTTTCCATTGATTTTTTTTTAGAGATGGTGGAAGGGAAGGGGAGAGACAGAGAGAGAGAAACATCTATGTAAGAGAGATACATCAATTGGTTGCCTCCTAGACATACCCAACCAGGGCTGGGGATTGAGCCTGCTACCAAGGTACGTTCCCTTCACCGGAACCGGAATCGGAATCAAACCCAGGAACTTTCAGTCTTCAGGGGCCGATGCTGTATCCACTGAGCCAAACTGGCTAGGGCTGGAATTGATTCTTAATCCAGGCTTCTCTACTTGCTAAGGTTGTGGGTCTTGGTCAGGTTACTTAATTGTTTCTCTCAGTTTCCACATCTGTAAAAAATACCTATCTCATATGGTTCTTGGAAGGATAAAATGAAACGACCAATGTAAACACCTGGCATACACAACATTGGTTCCCTTTACTGATAAATAATATCTTTCCTCTCTTGCCTTCAAACATTTGGGCGGAGAGTTCACTCTGTTTATTTCTTTGTTGAAAATGCCCTTTCTTATCAACTCCATTATAAACCATTTGAGATAGTTTGTAGCAAGTCTGCAGATATTTATGAAATTTTTATTATGTGCCTACACTATAGTGAAAGCTTAGTTCCTGATCCCAAGGAACTTAAAGTCTAGCTGGGAAAACAAAGCATGGACATTTTAAAAATTAAATGATAACACTTTAGTGCTCTGCTCCTTTCCAAAACGATTTGAGATGGCTAAATAAGGTTAAAAACAATAGTACAATAACTGTCCCAAGGCAAATAGATGAGTATTAAATGAGTGATATATACTTCTTTTTTTTTCTTTTTTATTGTGATGAGAAACATATACAATTTTCCTTTATAGAGTGGTCCCCCTGACATTTCAAGTCCCCCCCCCCCCCGCCCCTGCCCCCACCCCCCCTCCCCCGTGTCTGTGCCCATTGGTAATGCTTATATACATGCATACAAGTCCTTTGATCTCCTAACCCCACCTTCCCTCTGAGGTTTAACAGTCAGTTCAATGCTTCTCTGTCTCTGGATCTTTTGGTTCTTTAGTTTATGTTGTTCACTATATTCCACAAATGAGTGAGATCATGTGATATTTAACTTTCTCCTACTGGCTTATTTCGCCTAGCATAATGCTCTCCAGTTCCAACCATGCTCTTGCAAATGGTAAGAGTTCCTTCTTTTTTACAGCAGCGTAGTATTCCATTGTGTAGATGTACCACAGTTTTTTAATCCATGTCTTTGCTGATGGGCACTTAGGCTGTTTCCAAATCTTAGCTATTGTAAATTGTAATATGCACGTCTTTCAGAAGAGAGTTTTAAGAGGTTAGAGAAGGGTTTCTGGGACAGATTGGGCTTGAGGTGGGCCTAAGGATGAGAATTTGCCTGGAAGGAAAGGCAAGAGGTGTTTGTTATGGAGTTAGGTGGAATTTAGCAAAGATTCGAGGTGAGTAGAACAGTGATCAGTTTGCTTGAATGGGGGCTTTATGAAGATAAAACAGGTGGTTCAGCATTGCAAAGAACCTTGAACTCCAGGCTGATGAGGGGTGAGTGAAATACAATAGGAACATGCCCAGGAGCTTATTCTTGGTGGTTCTGGCATACTTCACCCTTGAAGATGAGGAACTTGTTTTAGGGAAATTTTTCAGTGGGTGTGAAATGGAAGCGAGGAGCTAGAAACTGTTTTTTCCCTCATTTCTGTCTGCTTTCGCAAGGTGCTACAGGCCATCTCTAACATTTGATTTTTCTCTCACTTCTATCTCCAGATGGCCGTCCTGCTCCTCCGATGAAAGGCCAGCTTCGAAGACAAGCCCAAAGAGAAAAATTTGCAGTGAGTTGCTAGAGCCCCATCCAGGGCATCCTGCATGTAATCTGAGGGACAAAGTTTAAACTGTAATTTGTCTTGAGCTGTGTTGACACCTAAGCTAACATGTACCCCTCACACTGTTTTAACAGTCAAGATTTTAACAGTACTGTGAGAAGGAAGGAATAGAGGGGGTACTCCTAGGGCAGGAACCGGTAGTAGACATTCTGCCACACATTTTACTGTCTTCCCCACTTCCCATCCCAGGACCTGGCCCCACCCCTTCCCTAGTCAGCAGTGTCATTTTCCAGCTGAAACCTCTGACTTTGATCTGTGAATGAAAGGATATATGGTGCAGAGCTCAAGCCCCAGATGTTATTTACACTGTTTTCCTGTCTGTTTCAGAGACGAGTTGTACTGCTGTCACAGGAAATGGATGCTGGATTACAGGCATGGCAGCTCAGGCAGCAGGAGAAGTTGCAGGAAGAAGAACAGAAGAAGAAAAATGCTCTTAAACCTAAAGGGGCTGCTCTGAAGAGCCCACTACCACGTCAATAAAAAGCAACTCCTATCTCTTTTTCCCAGCATTTGTTGTTGTTGTTCCCCATCCATCTTCAGAGCAAAAGAGCTTGGACCCCAGGAAGAACAGGCTGTGAGAGCACTGCCTGGAAGGGCTGGCTACAGGCCCTCACCCCGGCTCCCTTCCAGTTCAGGCGTATCTTGCTCTGGGATATTTACCCCTCCTTTGCAGGTCTTAGGACTGGCCCAACTTTGAGCAGTTACTGCTCTGCAAACATGAAAAGGGGGCCGCGGTTTACTTGGTCTTAGCCACCATTCAAGCCTTGAAAAACCTATACACAGCTCAGTCTGCATCCAGTTACACGTTTAATAAATGTTTCGATGAAAAAGACTTTCCAGCTGAGGTCCATTTCTTGGCAAGCAACTGGTGTCAGTTTTTCTAAACCAGATACATGGCCCAAGAGGATACCAACACTGGCAAGGCTGACATGGGAAGAACCAGACTTGGGTGTTGCATGTTCTAAAGATTTGGATCTTGAGGTTTCCCTGGTTCTGATTGAATCCTAGAAATTGGAGAGAGGACTGTCCTCCTGGCCCCAATTTACATAGGGGGCCCTGGAGATACTCCACCCCCAAAACAGCCTTGTGGGTTAGGGATATCCCATATACCTCCCAAAACAGTGTGAGGGGTACATGTTAGCTGCCCCCCAAGGCCCAGGAAACCTTTTAGAGAGAGTAGCATCAATGGGCTGCCTCCTGTACGCCCCCTATTGGGGATCAAGCCTGAAACCCAAGCATGTGCTCTGACAGGAATCAAACGTGGGACCACTTCTTGGTGCAAGGGACAACTCAACCAACTGAGCCACGCTGGCTGGGCAAAACTTTCATTTTATTGCTCGTGGATTCTGTGTGGAAAAACCTTTGCTCTCATTACAATACAGAACACTGGACTTTTTTTCCCATTTTCATGTCACAAACTTGTGTTAGTTCCTGGATCTCTAGGATTTCTGGAGTTTCTTACCTGACCTAATTTCTGTCCAGCCTCCCAGTTATTCCTTCCCTTGCTTTCTTTCCCTCCCTTCTTCCCCCCAATACCTCCTTCCCTTCCCCTCTCTCTGACCAATGTAATTCTTGGGTCTTAGATTTCGCTGATGGTTGAGTTTTCTGTCTCCCACACTTTTCCTGCTTGTTGTTCTGCCTTTCCAGATCTAGTTCTCAACCTCTTATCTGTCTCCCTTTCTCAGCTTTAGCCTGCCCTCCCCCTTCCCTGCATACCTCCACCTTTTGTTCTCAGAGACTAGTCTGTCCTTGAAGGAGATTTTACCCTTGAAGGAACTGCCTCCTTTTCCAGGATAAGGAATTAAATCCTGAAGTTCCAACTTCCAATCTCCCTTCTAACAATTGCACCAAACTTGATTTGCCTTTACCCATTGTCCATGGCCTTGCACCCCTCTCCTCCCCAACCAGTTCTAATTTAAGGATCAGTCAGATTGCAAGTGGCATTGTAAAGGGAGCACATTTGTTTTTCTACAAGGATGGGACCCTCCCCCCCATCCAGTGTGGTTGTGAGGTTTGTTGATGGGTAGTTGGGTTTTGATATTGTTGTGTGTGTGTTTTTGTTTGTTTGGTCGGTTGGGTTTTTTTCTATTGATTTCAGAGAGGGCGAGAGAGAGAAACATCAATGATGAGAATCAGTGATCAGCTGCCTCCTGCACGCCCTGCTCTGAGGATCGAGCTGGCAACCCGGGCACGTGCCCTTGGCCAGAATCGAACCCGGGACCCTTCAGTCCACAGGCCAATGCTCTATCCACTGAGCCAAACTGGCTAGGGCTGATATTGTTTTTGTTTGTTTGTTTGCAACAGGGACAGAGGTGGTTGTCAAGAATAGGAGACAAAGATTCAATTTGGTTTAGTCACAGGTCCCAACAGACAATCCCCTAACCCAGGTCTCAGGACATGGAAGACCCCCCACCACATCCCAGACTCTGAACTTGTTTGCCCCAGCCACTGAGCCTCCCAGTACTTCCCATCTGAGGTGAGGCAAACGCTGAATACCAGAGGAATCGAGCCATCCAAAATATGCCTGGGGGGGAAAGTCTCCCACATCCCGTCCCCTTGGACCCCCCCCCCGCCCCCCCCACACACACACACACACACACACACACTCACAGTTCCTCGCCCTCGGCTGTGGCCTCAACCCCTGGAGATGGCAGCCTTTACCACAGAAAGTCAACTTAGGTTTGGTTTTTCCTTTTTTTGGTTTTTTTTTACCGGGCTCTTGGCTGTAATTGGATTCAGGCTGAAACAACCACGTCCGCACCGGGAAAGGAGGGCATTGGGGCGTGGGCGGGAGGAGAGGCTGTGGGATAAAGGGAGGGACCAGAGGAGAGAGCAAGAGAGGGCTCGCCATCTAGTTCGCCGACTAAGCAGAAGAAAGACCAGAGAACGGAGGGGAGGCGACGAGCAGACAGGCGCGCTCGGGAACCAGCGCCTCCTCTCCCAGCGGACAGCTCTCCAACAATCCCAGCTCGGTGCCTCCGGGAGACAAAGGCGTCCGAGGGAGGGGCGGCGCGACCCCCAGGCTGGGCCCCG